TAAAGACGTATGGGATCAACCGAAAATGATTAACAAGTTTCGGGAGCTAAATCCGAATTTTGGAAAGTTTAGGAACTTAATTGCAAGCTCTTGGAACTTGACATCAGATCGATTTTGGATGGAATGTTGATGATTAAATTAGAGTGACTTGAAGATAAGGACCAAGATTTCAAAGAAGAAAGGATGCAGGTTGAAAAAAAGAGGAAACCTAGGACCAAAGTGTACTTCTCAGAAAATATAGGGGTTGCAATCGCAAGCGCAACAGATATTTCAGAATTCAAAATGAAGTCTTAAAATTTATGGGAAACAAAAATACAGATATTTTAGAGAGAAAAATAAACTAATATAAATTTTCTAGTACACCACCACCAAATCACATGGTCAATGTTGGCATCTGGGGTAGAGGTGGCAATTGGGGGAGGACAATGGGTCGGGTTTGACCCAAAATTGACCCGACCCGACATACCAAGTTTAGGGCTCTTTCACAAACCGACCCGACCCTACTCGGTTCCTACCCTAAACCGACCCAACCCGAATCAGGTCGGATCGGGTCCAACTGATTTATTTATTTATTTTTAAACTGACCAATTTATACATTTTTTTTTTCTAATTTAATGAAGTCCCTAAACCCACCCCAATAACCCCATGGCAGCATACATATCCCAAATACAGACTTCCAATACATTTAGAGTAATGTTATTCATCCCCAGTGGGATGAAAATACAGTTTATGTGATTTTAAATGATAGGTTAAATGAAAGGTGAAATTAAATGACTTATTTAATTTCACATATCATTTAATACCACATTGAAGCCACGTTGACTGTATTTTCATCCCCAATGGGGATGAATAGCATTGCTCATACATTTAATATTCCAGTAAGTAACAATTGCAATTCAATTAAAACTAAGAAACTACAATATTAAAAAAATAATGGTAAAAAAATACTGCAGCTAATTACAAAGAAGACGAACTGAGAACACTATAAATTTCACCAATCAAATTATAGTTTTGATTGACAGAATTAAAGTATTTTTAATTTTCATTTAGTACCTCAGAGAAATCATATAATAGATAGTATAAAATCAAAAAATAAGAAAACAAAAGTGAAATCTGATTTAATAAAAATCTTCAATTCGCCCTAAAAATAAACAGAAAATAAAATACATTCCACACTAATACAAAAATATATGATGCAATTGAAAAAAACAAAAACAAAACAAAATGATAAAATACGTAAAAATTGTAAATAAAAGAGATAAAACATAGCACATGAAGATGAAAAAAATATTAACTCAGAAGTTTTGTTGAATTAATAGCAAACAATAACCCACTTCCTGAAACCATAACGAAAAGAAAATATAAATAAAAAATGTAACGAAATAAATTCACGAGCCGAGACGACGAGCTGCTCAGCCCCCTTACCACCACTAATCTGGGGGCAACAAAGAGGCGAGAGACATCCAAATGAACTACATTGATTGGATCCTTGTGTTTTGTCGTACTATTGTTCTGTCAACAATGTTTTTTCATTCTACATATATGACACACATCTTCGTACTCATTTTTTGATTAGTTGTATCCATTTGCACTGGTTATATTCCACTGTTGGCGGTTTACTTTGTGTTTCTTGAAATTATTGTTTCGTTACTGATAATTTTGTCTATTGCTTCTTCGATGACTTCATATGTCTAGTTAAAGTATTGAAGATGGAATTGATAATTTTGAATACTGATTAATTCATATTACAAGTGAGAATTTAAGCTCAGA